TGGGAGCCCACAGTCCACTCCCATCTGCTCTTATCTGCCCCATCTAGGGCAGCCATTGGTCTTTCATTGCCTCTGCAACCACACAGAGTGCAGGCCCAGGTCAATCCCATTCCCACTAGAGCCAGTGCCCAGAATAGATCCTGGAGCTGAGCAGTCAGAGCCACACCCCCACGGCCCCCACCTCTGGGGTTAGGGCTTTCATGCCCAGGGGAAGCTCTTGCATCTGGACATGGACTTCATGAATGACAGTGCCCTTGGCATCTGTCACCAGATGAATCACGGGTGATGTCTCCATGGGCTCGCCTATCACCGATGATGATGTAACGGTCCCCATGGCGGAGGCACCAGACCCTTTAAGGCAGAACCAAGAAGAGTCCTTGAAGAAGCCTCCCTGACCAGGGCAGCTTCAGGGCTGGAACAGGGAGCCTTCACCATGCTGACCTGTATGCGTGTCCTCTTTGCCAACAACCACATCCTTGCTCATGGTGAATCGGATTTTTTCAGTGCATGGGGTGAGAGACTTGAGGTGCCGGGTCAGTGCACCTGACTCCCGGAAGCTCTTTCCACACTTGGCACATTTATAGGGACGCTCATCTGTGGAATGGAGTCAGCTATGGGTAAAGAAGGCAGGCCTGGAGCCATAGCCTCCCACCAGGAGGCAGGGGTGCCCCACATACTGAGCTAGCTCACCTGTGTGCCGCCGGTGGTGCCGGATGAGGGAACCCTTGGTCCGGAAGGAGGCCCCGCACAGCTTGCACTCATGGTCCTTACGACTGCTGTGGGTGACCATGTGGGCCTTGAGGATGCTACCCTGAGAGGGAGGGGCAGCGAGGCTCAGGCAGCTCCCTGGGCAGGAGGCCTGGTCCCCTTAGCTGGCACGGCCCAAGATCTGGAGGCCTGGTCCCCTTAGCTGGCACGGCCCAAGATCTGGGGCTCACCGTCTTGAAGGTCTTGTGACACAATGCACACACGTAGCGGCCATCCTCGTTCACTAGCAGCTTGAGCTGGGCCTGTTCACCCTGCCCGGCCAGCCCGGGCCCCTGAGGATCGGGGCTGCCTGAGGCCTCTGCCATCTCATTGTCGCCTGGATCCACCTCAGCAGCCACAATGACCTCTTTGATGTGTCCACTGTCTAAAGAGAAGCAGGTCAGCCTGAGTCTCAGGATGCCGTGGCCCTACCCCTCCTGGGATCCTGGCCCAGGAATACTGCTGGGGTATACTGGAGCTGCTTGGAGAAGTCCCAGGCCCCCAGAATGTATCCAGTGGAGACCATGGTGAACAAATGCCCCCTCCCCTAAGCCAAAAGGAGTACAGCACTAGATGTGCACAGGGGTCCTACCACTTCTAAGGGCAATGGAGTACCCAACACAGAGACAGTGGGCAGGCCAACCCAGCTCACCGTAATCTATCCTGCTTGCTGCCCCAGCTCCCACTAACATAAGAAAATGCCTCCAGAGTCACCCACTAGCATCTATTTTGAAGCAGGCAGGCGAGGAACCTGGCCTCAAAGTGAATGCTCATGAGACACCTGGGACAGCCTGAGGTTTCTGCACCTGTCGAGAGCGTTGAAGAAATCTGATAATCACCCTGGCCGGGTAGCTCAACTGATTAGAGTGTCATCCCAATGTGAGTTCTATCCCCATTAAGGACACATACAAGAATCAACCAATGTGCCCTGTCTAGTGTAGCTCATCCCTTGCACTGGGAGGTCGCCAATTTGATCCTGTCAGGGCACATGCTCAGATTGGGGGCTCGACCCCTGGTAGGAGTGTGCAGAAGGCAGCCGATAGATGTTTTTCTCTCACATCAATGTTTTTCTCTCCCCTCCCCTTCCTCTCTCTCTAGAATCAATAAAAACATACTTAAAAAAAATAAATCTGACAATGTGTAAAGCTAAGCTGTAAACACTTCACAATTTCTGTTCATAAAAATGACAGTTGGAAATGGTTGTGAAACTGCTTCTTTGAAGCCTCAATCAAGCTGGCACCATGTTTTGACAAGTCATTCCCTCCAAACAGAATGGAAGCACAACAAATAAGGGCCCAGCCAGTGTGGCCTAGTGGTCGAGCGTCAATTTCTAGTCAGGACACATGCCTGGGCTGCCAGCTTGATCCCCAGTAGGGGGTGTACAGAAGGCAGCCGATCGATGATTTTCTCTCATCATTAATGTTTCTGTGTCTCTCTCTCTCTTTTTCTCTCTCTCTCTCTCCTTCTCCCTTCCTCTGAAATCAATATTATATTAATAAGAAGAAGACGATAAAGCATGCCTGATGCTTTATCTTTCCTCTACCCCAGAATGTGTCATACAGTAGACCAAAGGTTCAGGGAAGGGGTAACAAGTGAAATGCAAGTTTGTTTCCCAAGAGGAGGCAGGAGTGGGTATCTAGCTGCTAATCGGCCCCAGCAGCCTCCGCTGACCATTCGAAG